TGCAGGTGTTATACACTCCGTGCACACACGCACAGGTGTAGGTGTTATACACTCCGTGCACACACGCACAGGTGTTATACACTCCGTGCACACACACACAGCTGCAGGTGTTAAACACTCCGTGCACACACGCACAGCTGGTTTTATACACTCCGTGCACACACGCTCAGGTGCAGGTGTTATACACTCCACACACACGCACAGGTGCAGGTGTTATACATTCCGCACACACGCACAGGTGCAGGTGTTATACACTCCGTGCACACACGCACAGGTGCAGGTGTTATACACTCCACACGTGCGCACACACACACACACGTGCAGGTATTATACACTCCACACACGCACAGCTGCAGGTGTTATACACTCCGTGCACACACGCACAGGTGCAGGTGTTATACACTCCACACACACGCACAGGTGCAGGTGTTATACATTCCGCACACACGCACAGGTGCAGGTGTTATACACTCCACACACGCACACACACACACACACACACACACACGTGCAGGTATTATACACTCCACGCACATGCACAGCTGCAGGTGTTATACACTCCATGCACACACGCACAGGTGCAGGTGTTATACACTCTGTGTGCACACGCATAGCTGCAGGTGTTATACACTCTGCACACACGCACAGCTGCAGGCGTCCTGATGCCACTGTGAGTTAGAATCCAAAGTTCTCCTCCCAGTAACCCCACTCTGACCTTTATGAATAGAAAGAAAAATAGAGGGGAAATATATATATCTAATAACTAACAGCTAATTCTAATTTTAGGAAATACTATGAAGGCTCAAACTTCCTTTTCACTTTCTTGTTCTAAGAGGGGCCATGCGGCTTCTTAAGAACCAGTGTTTTCTCATCAGACACAGCACATTGTTAGGAAAATGCCACAAGTCAGGTGAAGTTTGTCTCCTTGTGAGACTTGCTCTCAGTCATTAGTGATGATAACTTAAAGCAATAGCCCTCCCAAGGGTTATGTCTCAGTGGTTCAAAGTCTTAAGCTTTACAGAAGTTTTTGGTGGTGGAATCTCAGGCATTAGCTGGTTGACAGGAAGTCATTTTTTTTTTTTTGATGCTTATATGAGTGTGCCTTCACAAACCTTCCCAAATTTCTCCAGAAGTTATATCCTAACTCCAAAAATCATCACTAACTTTGTTTTCCTCTTACACTTTCTGCTTTTTTACCCCTCCCTACAGTGCATCAAAACCTATAACTCTGACTGGCATCTCGTGAATTATAAATATGAAGATTACTCAGGAGAGTTTCGACAGCTTCCAAAGTGAGTATGCTCTCAGACCACATGAGAGGGGTTACGCACATAGGGAAAGTCTTTGTACTTGCAATACCCAAGGAGCAATGGAGCTTTGTTTGCAATCAGAGTAATTGGAGAGAGTATTTCTACATGGTGTGTGTGTGTGTGGGTGTATGTGTGTGTGTGGTGTGGATCTTGTGCACAGTGCCTCTGACTAGAAGACTCAAACATAGTACTGGCAGGTCGTAATAAACTCATAGATGGCTTAATTATGTCCAGAGATTCGATTGAGAATACCAGAGATTTGAAACAAAAATTGCTAAAATTTTTGTCAATGAGAAAGCTAAAGAAGATGTAAATGCATTACTATATGCGTCAGTGTATTTTTCTCTTAGAGTATTCTGAAGAAGAGACTCATAGTCATTTTTTTTCCATGACAGAGTGTGAGTGTCCGCACAGCGAGGGGTACTTCCACTGGGGTTGGTTATGCTGTGAACTCCTTCCTGCGGTCCCCTAGCCCCAGGTCCTTTGCCAGAGGACCTGGCAACGTGTTCATGTCCAGGGTACTTTCAGGCCGACTAGAGTAGAGAGTTTTCCACAGATGGCATGTGGCTTCTGGCTCCACGGTTCAGTACCTACTGTCTGCTCCATGGAGGCTGGGCCAACAGCATTTCATATCGAGTAAACTGTCTTAAAAAGTAAACCAAGATATAGACATTTCCTTGATAAATTTCTTTACCTCCTTTAAAGTATTTGCTCATTCTAGAATATGTCAGTAGCAAGACTGTTTTGGTCAATTAGTGGTGGTTAGAGTAGGCCAGAGGTAGGTAAGTCTAACCTCCAGAGGCTTTCCATGAGCAAATGGCACATCCTGAAATGACGCATTTGACAAACTGAAGCTAGTTGATCATGAAAACTGAAAGCAGATAGTGATAGCCATGTTTTCAAGGAACATTGCCAGTGAAAATCCACTTCAGATCTAGTTAATTTACTATTCTTTGTGTTTGTTGGCTCTGTTCGTTTGAACCTTTATGCTGTTCTCAGTGGACCTACCATTTGTTTTTCCTGTTTGTGTGGCTCAGCCACTCCTTAAAAGTGTTCAGCCAACTCCCCAGTTGCCTCTTTAAACCTCAGTGGAGAACACTCCCTCCTTGCATTATTTTCTCCAGATGGGAATGCTCTCTAGTTCTCTATTTATCCAATACTCATGTGGAGATCTTTGAACTCTCTCCTTTTGACTGTATTAACCTTTCCTCCTGGATCATCTGGTTCGTGCAGTCTCATGGTTGAGACATAATGGGCTATGAGACGTCATGTGCATACGATATGATAGACTTTAGTCATTGCTGGTAGAGTTTAGTTTGGGCATTGATAAGAATTTCCAAGTGTGTGAGGAGGAAGAGAGGAAGGATTATAAGGGTGCTTCAGAATATAGATTCTGTATTTTGTTCTGCTCTCTGTAAATGTCAGTTTTCACATCTATTAAATGGGCTTTGCAGCACTCTCCATAGGCATGACATTTTTGGACACAGAAATGATTTATTCACTGTTGATGATAACATGTATAGTATTTTCAACTGGACTGGTCTGAGAAGTATTTCATGTTAAGTATATTCTCTTTACAAGCCAAATGATGTGTAGTGATTGAATGTTTAAAAATAATAATAATGAGAATAAATAATAATAATCTGAAAAAAAAACCAAAAAGCTATTTAATGATATGGATTGTAATATCTTTGTCTTGACTGATATGCATGATAATTGTACTGGAAAAATAAATGTTATACTCTGTAAAGATATATGTAATTAAATGTAATATAAAAATATAATAATAAAAAAACAGTAAAAAGAAAAATTAAATGAAATAATTCATGTAAATTACACAGCGTGGGGCTATTACATAATAACTATTAAATTCTGGCTGCTATTGTTATTATTGCCATCCTTTTATTGTTAATGCCATTATCACTAATCACTTTAAATGTAGTCATCCCAGATTCCATTTTTTCTCATAAACCTTGTATTAAAGGTTATTCTGAAGTCTTTTTTGTTACTAATAACTAATCTACCTTCCTATTTTAATATACCCACTAACTACCAACATGATATGCTTACTTTTCCATGTGGCTTTTTGGAGCTTTCTTCTTTTTTTTTTTGGAGACGTTTTTGCTATAGGGCACGTGCATTCACCAGATAGACAGAGAGAGACAGAGAGACAGAAAGCAAGAAATCACCCCCTAAAGGGGATGGCCATGTCACAATCCCTTCTCCTCCATTCTCCTCCTGGGATCTTGGGCACGCACGCACATGTGCCCGGCGTGAGTTTAAGCCACTGGATCCAGGACTCGACTATGTGGGAGTCCAGCGACATAGCCATTACGCCACCTACTGTTCCCATTTTTGGAGCTTTCTAACTCAAGTCTTGGCTTGTTCATTAAAGAAAAGCAATGGTGTATATGGTTTTATTTTTACTCCAAGTAGCCCAGCTTTGGATTTATGAAAGGCTGGTTCCTCTGATGGAGGAAGAAAGGCATAGACTTTTCATGGACTAGACAATTATAAGACAAATTTTCTTTCTTGTTTTTAAAGCAAAGTGGCCAAGCTGGATAAACTTCCAGTTCATGTCTATGAAGTTGATGAGGAGGTCGACAAAGATGAGGTAAGATGCTTGCTCTAGTCTCTCTTTTCACTTCAGATTTAAACAATGATTTTACAGATGTAGAAGATTAGTTAGAAAACTACCAACATTTAGGCAAAACAGGAATGTTTCATGAAATGGGAAGAGTTTTTAATAATGCATTATTTGATTGATTGCAATGAGAGCTTTCTTTCAACTTGGCTGTTTAACATTTCATGTTCTTCTGGTTATGTTATTTGTTCTGAGATCATTTTCAAAGATGTGGATCGGATTTGGATACAGCGTAAGAAGATATGAAGATTACTTAGACCTTAAATTTAGGTTGTTTTCAGTAGGATATCTTGAGACAAACTGCCAACCATTAGATTTTAAATGGCTGTTTCTTCAATGATTGCTTTTAGTGAAGTCTGTTTTTTATTTTGAATGCCAGAGGATGCATGCATATAAGGGGATGAGGAAGAGAGAGAAAGCACTCCCCCCATGGGGCATGGTCATATTGCAATCCTTTATCCTCCAGTTCTCCATCCTACCAGGCTCCTGGGCGCATGGCACATACCTGGCATAGTTTACAAGCCTCTGGGGCAGGGACTCAAACCCTGGTCAGCCACGTGGGATCTCTTTCTCTGTGCAGTACTTAACTACTGCACTATGGGACTGGCTCCAAAATCTGGTTTTAATGAGCCTGTTTTCTGTATTGCTAAAGAAAAGATTATGGCGAAAGAAGTTTAGGAAGAGAGTAGGGTGTTAAGGTTAATATTTACCAAGTAAGAGAAACCTAATCAAAGGTATTACTACCCATCTCTGCATTTCTCATTCTCCCCACTAAGTATTGAATGCCCTATCATGAGTTTAGATTTTTCCTTTTTTTTTTTTTTTTTAATTTTTTTGTCAGTTGAACCTAACAAAAATCAGCTACTTAAGAACTGTAACAGTGTCCATGTAGCAGATTGTTTTCTAAACCTTTCCTCTCAGGGCCTGGTCCCATAACGAGGTGGCTAAGGGAGCTGGATCCCGCACTGTTGGCATGGTTTGAATACTGGTTCCAGCAGCTTGAAGGCGCACTGTGTGCGTGCATGTGCTCCAGTCCTGACAGGATGGAGAAGGGAGGAGAAGGGATTGTGGCGTGATCAGTGGGGGTGTTTACTCTCTGAGCCCTCTGTCTCTCTGGCTCTTTCTCTGGTGAGTGTACATGCCCTCTGGCAATCAAAACAGAAAAAAAAAAAACCCACTTTTGAAATAATTCTCAGTTAAGTAAGTGGTCATTCAAAATAAATCTGGTATTAAGAACCGAATCCGAGTGTGACAGCAGCACCAGCTGAAATGATGCATGTAAGGCGCACAGTAAGCCGGCGTTCTAGACAGGTAGCTTATTGATGTTATTGCTTATAATACCAGCAATAAAACCAACAACATTAATACTGAGATTGTTCAAAACAGAGCCTAGGGTGGGTCTTTCTGCAGTTGTCTGTGTGATTACAACAGACTTCCAGATTAAGTGTGTGTGTGTATTGCATCTGTCTGTCTGTTATATATATAGATATATGCTTAATGTATTTCAGTAGCAGCTGAAAGCTCTGTGCCCGCCTCCTTAAAGCCAGGTCTCACAGTTTAGGGTTTGAACCTGAAGAAGCATGTTTCTTTACCACTCTTGCAAGTTAATGCACTTTTCTAATGCCCCCTTTTCCCTTTATCCCTGGTTGCATTCTTGTCTGTCTTTCC